CCTCATCGTCCATGTCCACGCGCTGCAGTTTACGCATCCTCAGGCGACCGAAACAGATGATGGCACAATGAAGGTTTTCGCCCACCGAAGCTCGAGCTGCAAGCTGCCACGCGTTGTCACTCAAGGAGATGACCTAATGACGGACCTCTTCGCTGAACACACCTTCGACCACATACTGCGCAACGTCATCGTCACTCAACGGGGCGAGAAGGAGAGGACGTGAACGAGATGGCGAGGAAAACAACATATCCACTGCCTAACCGCTGCGCTGGGAACGCCTGTGTGCCGCCTAGCCGTCATCCCTCGCCGGAACTCTAATTTCAAACTTTAGACGGGGATATTCCCACCTTTTTTTTCCTTTTTTTTTTCGCGCCGCCCCACATATTCACACCCGTTGCCTGTGTACCAACATGCCTCTTGAGCGGACATCCCAAACCGCACTACCGACACACCTCCCAAGGCCACGTATAATCGTATAAAATTGGCCCTAGGAAGTCCCGAGGATTCGTCCTTGGAGCCATTCCCCGAGGATAGGTGGAACGCCAGCACCAAAAATCCAAAATTTCCTCGATAACGCCTTGAGGAGTGTGAATTCCGAGCGTGGCCTAATGAGCCAAATCAATGGAGGCCTACTACCGGAGGAGAAAAATATGCATTCTCTAAAGCTCTGGTACATGGGCACCTGGGCCGCGGGCCTGGCACCTCAAATTCTGGAAGCGCGAAATGAAAACGCGACCGCCGATCCAATTTATTAAACCACGAGTACGTCGCTCAGCTATCGGCCGCGGGCCTTCCCGTATACGCGCCGCAGCCTTAGGGGGGTCGGCCAAGGGAAGGCCCGATCGCTGCTTCTTGGCTGGAGCCCGCCAAGTACGGGGTGTCACCTCACACAATAAGAAAAAAAAAATTATAAACACAAGAAAAAAAAACGAAATAAAAGAAGAGATAGGTCATTGCTTCTTGGCGCGCCGTAGGAGAGAGAGAGAGAGAGAGAGAGAGAGAGAGAGAGAGAGAGAGAGCTGTCTCTTATACACATCTAGATGTGTATAAGAGACAGTTGATACAGGCTGCGGATTGACTTATATTGCGGTTACCATGGACAT